CTCCGGCTTCTGATTGGGGCAATATATATTGGCTAATGTACACTCTATTCCCTGTAGTTTACCTTTCAAGAACAAGAATCTCCCCTCCGGGTCGGTCTTTCTATCCTCCAGCTCAAATCTCATATTCTTTGCCAATCCTATTGCAACCCCTTTTGCTCTTTTAATTGGTCGGCATAATACCATATTGATAATATTTAGATTTTAATTTCACGTTTGACTCTCTCGAAATGTGTCTCCTGTAAAAATACCACTGACGTTGCTCTATGCTGTAACTCTTTAAACAATCTAAATCTTTTCCCAGGACAATTCAACCCATTCACATTATACATTATAAACTGTATTTCTTCCATCCTTCTAAGTTCTCTCTATCTCTCCTCCAATTCGCCTCCTCCTCTTGGTTCCTTCTGTCATGCAGAGTATTAGCCCAGCAGCCCCTCCCCCCCTCCCTCCGACCTAACCCCCATCTCCCCCCCTCCCCCCACCCCTCCAATCACCCTCTCTTTTTTTCCCCTACCCGTTTTTAGGCTTAAAAACTGCCTACTAATTATTTGTGGGTCTATTCCCACCATTGATTTAAAACTTTGGGGTTGAGCTCCGCCCATGGACGGCTCACCTCTCCTCCGACCTCCCCAAAGCCCCTCTATCAACCTGACTCAGAAAAATCTCCACTACCCCCATCAACCGGAACTCCGGGGGGGTGCCACATCGACAGAGGTAGGGCCAGGGGGTGAGAGAGAAGAGAGAAAAAAAAAAAAATCTTAATTCTCCCTCCCTCCCCCCCCGACCCGTTGCCAGTCCTCTTTTCTTGTATCTTCTGTTTCTCCTTTTTCTTCTTCCCACCCATCTATCTCCATTCTTTGCAAATCCAGTCTGTCACAAAAATCTCTCAGTTCCTCCGGAAATCTTAGATAAGCTGTAACACCATTTCTCCATCCAATTAGGCACGCTGGGGTACCCCATCTATACTGCACATTCTGCTTTCTCATTTGCTCCAACAAGGGTCTCAGTGATCTCCTTCTCCATAGGGTCTCTGGTGTTATGTCCGCATAAATTTGAATAGTTATATATCTCCATACTTAATTAATGTTCTTCCTTTGATCTTCCTCCATATCTCATCTTTATCTCCAAACTTTTGGAACTGGACAACTGTATCTCTCGGTCTCTCCTTCTCAGTAGCCTGTTTAAACTTTCCTATTCTAAACACTCCATCCAGTTTAATCCCGTCTGTTTCAGGTCTGTCTCTTATGGAGTTTAAAATTTTAATAACTAGTTCATGCAGTGTTTCCCCTTTTGCAGACTCTGGAATTCCTCGTACTCTAAGGTTACACCTTCTTTCTTTATTTTCTTGAATTTCCATCCTATAGAGCAATTTTTTCTGAGTATTCTCCAAATGGGTTATTTTTTTTCCTAGATTATCTATGGTTTGGGCCTGGTTTTTAATGTTCTCCTCTGTTTCTTCCACTCTCGATAACAGATGCCCTAAATCATTCCGAATAGCTGTCATTTCGTGCTTTATTATTTTCTCCAAACTTTGAAACATTTCTATCATCTTTCTTATTTGGTACTTGTAGTTCACCATCAGATTCATTTTTTTCGAAACCATCCGCTATTTGTTGGCTGCAGCTGCTATTCATGCCCAATGATAATCTAGGACTATTTCCCAAACTAGTTTCCATTTCCCCTTTTGCACTTACGCCTTGGGACCTTTCTGGAGTAATATTTCCATGTGATGTATATTTCTTTATCGTGCCTGTTTGAGACCCTTTGAGCCCTGCTCCCTTAGGACCTTTGTTCTTCATATCCTCTATAGGTCTTATTTTCTTCTATATTCTCACAATAGGATTATACCGATCATTTATAATTTGTGAACCAGACAAAGCTTGTTATTTTTTCTTGCGTTTTGCTCTCCTGAGTCTCCTGGGTCTCTTCTCTTCTCCTCTTCTTAACCCTGGGCATCCCCCCCTCCTCTCCTTCACCCCTTGCTCCCCTATGTCACTCAGGATTCCACTGCACAACAAGCCCCCAGCCGCTCTCACTCACCCTTCTCTTTTCTGGACGGCGGCTCCAAGCTTCGGGTGGAGGGCTTTCTCAGCAGCTCAGTCCTAGGGGGATTCCTCTGGGTCTCCAACACTCTACATTTTTTGGGATCCATCCTAGGGAAGCAGGCTGGGTCTCCTGGTTCTCTTAGGTCTCCCAGACCCAGGATCAATCCGCCGGCCGAGGGGTATAGCTAGAAGTAAGCCGGCGGCTCCCTCTTACATCGGGACGCCAGCCAGCTTTTTTTTCCTCCCAGTGATCCTCCGTGGCTGGTCACGTGTTCTCGCCGCGTCACCTCGTCTCCCAGCCGCCCGGATCTCTCTCTCATGAGGCGCCGGGGGGACCAGCCCGTCTCCACAGCCTCTGTCCTGCTCTCATCCCCGGCTCTCCGGTCCCTCCTCCACGGCCCTCCACACTCCGGTGAGTCAACAACTTTTTACCCTACTCCAGAGGGTCGCTGGGGAGGTCGGGAAGAGGAGCCTAGCCGAGATCTAGTGCCACACGCTCCCCTCAGCCGCCATGTTCAGGCTCCTCCCCCACCTCAGTCACCTGTATTTAATTTAATCTCAGTATAAATACAGCTGTTCTGTTAAGCCCTCAGAGGTTTGTTAGAGAGCATTAGTGAACAAACAGCATCATGAAGGCCAAAGAACACACCAGACAGGTCAGAGATAAAGTTGTGGAAAATTTTAAAGCAGGGGTAGTTTTATAAAAAAAAATTCCAAGCTTTGAACATCTCATGGAGCACTGTTCAATCCGTCATCTGAAAAAGGAGAGTATGACACAAGTACAAATCTACCAAGACATGGCCGTCCACCTAAACTGACAGGCCGGGCAAGGAGAGCATTATTCAAAGAAGCAGCCTAGAGGCCCATGGTAATTCTGGAGGAAATGCAGAGATCCACAACTTAGGTGGAAGAATCTGTCCACAGGACAACTATTAGATGTGCAATCCACAAATTTGGCCTTTATGGAAGAGTGGCAAGAAAGAAGCCATTGTTGAAAAAAAGCCATAAGAAGTGCCGTTTTCAGTTTGCAAGAAGTCATGTGGGGGACACAGCAAACATGTGCAAGAAGGTGCTCTGGTCAGATGAGACCAAAATTTTACTTTTTGGCCTAAAAGCAAAACGCTATGTATGGTGGAAAACCAACACTGCACATGGTGGCAGCATCATATTGGTAGGATGTTTTTCTTCAGCAGGGACAGGGAAGCTGGTCAGAGTTGATGGGAAGATGGATGGAGCCAAATACAGGGCAATCTTAGAAGAAAACATTTTAGAGTCTGCAAAAGACTTGAGACTAGGGTGGAGGTTCACCTTCCAGCAGGACAAAGACCCTAAATGTACAGCTAGAGTTACAATGGAATGGTTTAGATCAAAGCATATCCATGTGTTAGAATGGCCCAGGCAAAGTGCAGACCTAAATCCAATTAAGTATATGTGGCAAGTCTTAAAAATTGCTGCTCACAGACGCTCTCCATCCAATCTGACAGAGCTTGAGCTATCTTGCAAAGAAAAATGGGCAAAAAGTTCCCGCTCTAGATGTGCAAAGCTGGTAAACACATGCCTAAAAAGACTTGTAGCTGTAATTGCAGCGAAAGGTGATTCTACAAAGTATTGACTCAGGAGGGCTGAATAAAAATGCAGCCACACTTTTCAGATATTTATTTGTAAAAAAATTTTAAAACCATTTATCATTTTTCTTCCACTTGACAATTATGTGCCACTTTGTGTTGGTTTATCGCATAAAATCCCAATAAAATACATTTACGTTTTTAGTTGTAACGTGACAAAATGTATACGGATCACGATACTGTGTGTACCTGCTGCCGCATCCACCAAGGCACATATTTTCATATGTTCTGGGACTGCCTTAAGATGTTTGCCTTTTGGTCTGATATTTTTGAGCTTATAAACCTTCACCTTCAATTGTTCCTTCCCGTCTCCCCAGAGCTGGCCCTGTTGAGGGGTCCACGATGATGCCCAGCGACCACATGATACCAAATTGCTGATTTCCTTTGCACTGACTTTTTTCACCCCTGCTCTTCCCCCTTGTCTTTCCTACCTCCACCCCCTTTCTTTTTCTCTGTTCCCCTCTCCCAACCCCCTTTCATGTTGCTGTCATGTTGCACTGGAATGTCTTCTGGGCCTCAGGACCAATCTCTTTACCAATGCTGCTATGTCTTGCTGGACTATGTATGTTTGGATTTAGTTTTTTGTCTTCTATGCTTGCATTGTACCATGTCAAATTGTTTTCGGTTCTTTCATCTACTGCTTTAATACTGCAATAGAGCACCCCTGTTTTGTAAAAAAAAAAAAAAAAAAATATGGAATCGGTTTGGTATTAAATGTAGATATTTACATTGGTCCAAGCTTTACCTATACAAAAAATATCCATACCTGGAATTCAGGATTAATATCCCTCAGCCTGATGATAAACATAAAAAGTTCATGGATGCTGCAGTGGCCATGAGCCTGTTTTAACCCTTTCAAAGCCAAGATGTATGGAATATGCTTAAAGTATGACTAAAGGCAAAACTTCTTTGTTAGTTTTGGACAGAGTGGAGAGCGATTGAACCCCTGTCAGTTTTTATTGCTGCTCGTGCTCCTTTTTTTAGAGATTTACCCTTTCTATTTGTCCTGTTTACCATTATCACTGAAAGTGAAAGCAAAAGAAAATCCCAAATTTTGGATTGTCCCCAGAAAAGTAATAGAAGGCAAATCTTCCAATGGAGGTTTTAGTTCTGTTGACTCCCCAAGAAAGTCCCTTGATGTGGAAGTACTTCCTCTCACTTTCTGTTTGATTATGGGACAGAAAGTGCAGGAAAATCTCCACAATGGAACACAGATAGCGAGAGAAAAAAAAAATTTGGCAGGGGTTATAACCTTCCCTTACTCTCTCCAAAATGAGAAAAAAACTTTTCCTACAGTTCTACTTTAAGGTCTTGAAAAGATTAAACTCACCTTCTTTTCTTTTTTCTTCACTCTCTCAGACTCTGACTGTTTTTTATCCTTTTTACTGGGCTTTTTGACCTTTGACTCTAAAACAGAGGTTTCATTTTCAGGAGATTTTAGATTTTCTGTGTTTCTGTGTCTTTGGACTGGAAGTTTTTCTGTGTCTGCCAAAGGTCTGAAAGAAAAAAAAGTAATCAATGTACAGGGATGTGCAATTCCTATAGCTCGATGCTCGGGACAAGCAGTTCTGGATGCCGGGCAAGAGGTTTTTCTTTATATTTATCCCTGCTGCAGCAGCAGGAATTAGAGCCAACGGTTGGCTCTCTTGTAAAAGAAATCCGAGCAGCAAACTAGCCACTGGATTGCTTTTACAAGTAGCGGAGGGAACATCCCCCCTTCTGCGGGCTGTCCCGTCGCACCAGGACACTCAATTGACCATCTGGTGCTTCTGCCAACTGATCATAAAGGCGGACAAAGACCAGAACCACTCTGTTTGCCTCTATGATATAGGAAACAGGAACCGATGAGCATACATCACCTCCAGTGTCCCTGGATTTAAACGGACTATTTTTAAAAGTGGAAAGCATTTGATCACACCTATCTTGAGTGTTTAAATGCTTTTAAGGGCAAAGGAGGGATCTGGGGTCTTATAGACCCCATATATCTCGATGAAGAGCACCTGTCACTGCCTATTGCTGTCACAAGGGATGCTTACATTCCTTGTGAAAGGAATAATAAATATATAAAAAACGTTTTTTTAAAAGCATCCCCATCCACACACGCAAAGGCAAATGCATGCGTCAATCCTGCACACAAGCAAACAGCAATCATAGGCAGCAATTCTAGCACCAGACCTCCTTTGTAAATCTAAGGTGGTAACCTGTGAACGCTTTTAAAGTGTGGTTTTGGATAGTAAAATTCATGTGTTTGTTGCCGTTGCAGGGGCATGCTCAATTTTAAAGTGTGACATGTTTGGTATCTATTTACTCAGTGTAACATCATCTTTTATATTTTACCAAAAATTGGGTTTAGCATTGTGTTTTTTGCATCAAAATTAAAAAAATGTGCAAATACCGTGTTACATAAACAAAAAAACTGCAAAACCCACCAATTTTTTCTCTAGGGCCTCTGCATTTAAAAAAAAAAAAAAAAAAAAAAAAACGAACAAGAAATGATTGGGGGTTTGAAGACATTTTCTACGAGTTTAAGTTGCCATAAAGCCCCTTTCGTATTTATAAAAGCCCCAGACTTTCCTAAAAGCGCCACTAAATGCCTAATAAAAAAACATCAACTCTTCATATTTTCCATCCTGGCAAAAAAAATTTTTATCATCAGGACAAGTAGATTGTCATGAGGGACAAGTAGATTGGAACCCTAACTTAGTCCTTGGACAAGTAGTTTTTTAAAAAATTTCCACACCCCTGATGTATTATTTATACTGTCCCATCTTTCCTTTTAACATATAAAACTGTACACAATTGTTAGTGGAAGAAGTGCACATACTTGTCCAGATCTATGTCCAGAGCTCTGTAGGGGTCATTTGGATCCTTGTCATCGTCATCACTAGGGAGGGCATTCTAAAATACATAGTGAAAAATACTTTAAGAGTGCTTTTTTATTTTTGTGAATCAACTAATTCTATTGTTTATGTTTCATAATTTTGTGGAGCAGTATACTGAGTGTCAGGCTGTGAACACATTGCTCATGTTTTGCTGCGGTGGTTCACTCTCCTATCTCTCTTCCGTGCATTTTTCTGCTGTGGCAATCAGCCAAAAATGCCCAACGTAAGAGATAACGCCAAATTACCCAATGTGTACCCAGAGTTTACCTATCACAGCAGCTACAAATCTCTCCAAAATTTCAAGAGCACAAAAAGAAAGAAGAAGAAAAAAAAAAAGAAAGTGCAGGCTATAAATCTAGCTTTGGACATCAGAGGGCAATCTGAGTGCAAATATAAAATGGATATTAAAGAACACATTTTTCAGATGATATAAAAAAAAAAAAAATGAAACGTAACCTCTGGCATCTCCTCAGTGATTATGTCAACATGGTGTGCTGGAGCAATGTCCTCATCACTTTCTGTGTGAATAGACTTTTGTCTTCGCGACTTGCTACCTTTCTTATCTTTTACTTTCTTCCGTTTTTTGTCTTTTTCCTGACGTTGTTTGCTCCGTCGTTCCTCCTCAAGCTTTACATACTGGTCTGACATGGGAAGCCCTGAGAAAATGCATATATTATGCTAATCTCACTGTAAATCAATATTTTTAATTTGTTCATAGTTGATATTAAAGACAATATTAAAGACAATGGAGATTATGAATAGGCATGCAGGCACAAATAAACAACATGCTAATATTACAATATATAAAAAATCAGGCTGCCTCTCATTCACCAAAGTCTATGCAACAGGTTAACTGTGCTTTTGTGATTCCTGCACCTGTAATCCTGGGCAACCAGCTGAGACAGATTTGCACAGGTCTGCAACAGATTTATTAGTGCAGAGGAGAAAGATTTTCACTTTACACAAAGGTCAAGGTCAGGTTTCATTGTGTCACAGTTCTACTTCAGATTAGCTTAAGAAAGACGTTCTGACTTAAACTGTAACCCTGTAAGAAGTTTGTCACACAAAAGGGTGGACTTGCAAAAGGCAAACAGACTGCGCGTTTTGCAAGTGCAGTTGTTCCATAGATTAGTAAATGAAAGGAATCTTCACTTTGTAAAGAATACACAACTATATGCAAGGAAAAATTAAAAAAAAAAACAGCATGATCGGATGATGGAAGTCAGTAGTGCTTCCCTTCATTTACTAAGCTCTGGAGCAACTGAACTTGCAGCATGCACAGTCTATTTGTGTTTAGTTAATCCACCCTAATATGTCCCACTGCTCCTAATGGGATTGCCTTGCTGTGTAAAAGATTGAATAAATATCCCCCTTTAAGCTTTGTTAGGCAGATGCAATATGTAAAAAAAAACTTTATCTGAATTATCTTACCCTACTACATGCAGTGGTATAGAGAATGCCAGAGGAAGAGTTTACATCCACTAATAAATATGGTAGTTGCATACTTATAGGGGAACATTTATCAGTTTCTCTAGCACAACATGACAATGCTGACGAAGAACAGTAAAACAGATTACGCAAAAGACTTGCTACAGTGTTACAGCTTGAGTAATAAGTTCCTCCCTCAGCTGCTGTTCCCTGTAGCACTGCAACAGAACGAAGCCTGACCCTGATCACTTTTTAATTGTGTGCCTGTTTAGACAGAAAATCTGTGTCTTCTTAAGAATTAACCCCTTGGCACTGGCGCCTCCCGGCCCTTTAAGGGTTTCAGAAGGCAGGAGGCAGGGCGGGGTTTAGGGTCATGTGACCACCATAACACGCCGTCACAGCAGACACATGATCGGGAAAGGTCCCGATCAAAATAGGAGATCGGGACCTTTCCGTGAGTACCAGACGTGTGCTGGGAGCGCGTGCTCTCAGCACGTGTTTTTTTTAATAGAACACAAATGTGCGGCAGCCCAGACATTTGCGTTCAGCCGGCGCGAAGAGGTTAATCTGTAGAAGAATTTTTCAGTAATAAATCTGTCTCAGACCTGTGTAAATCTGTTGCAGGTGTATTTGCAGTTGGATACCCAAAATTCTGGGTGCAGGAATAGCAAACACACAGAAAAACTGTCACAGAGGCATTACTAAGTAAGAGACAGCCTGATTTGCAGCTAATGGTATCCCTAATTTGCTTAACCTCCCTAGCGGTCTGATTATGCCCATATTTCTGTGCTGAAAGCATGGAAATATGTCGTGCTTTTATTGTAGGCCTGTAATTTTTAGGAATAACTCACTGAAATCTGTCCGAACAAGAGTCTAGTAAACATCCCGGGTATAATAAAACTTGAAACACGAAATCATAAATTATAAAATAATAAATAATTATAAAAAATATAATAATAATAAATTGAATTCAATAACATAATCAAACCAAAACCACTGAAATTTGAAATATAGCACCAAGTTCGCCCATCACTGAGCTTAGTCGCAGAATCGTTTTCGGTGTCTTATGACAAATTTCCCCACAAATCATCATCTCTCAATTCTGCAAGTGGTTCTGATTTACTTTCGCTGTATTTTAGCTGGTCTAAAGCCGCTTTTGACCTAAAGGAACGCTTTTTGGACGCCATGGACTTTTCTAAGTTTCTAGCAGAAATAACAGTAAAAATGCAGGCAGGGCACAGGACAAAGCACTAGGGACAAAATGTATGTGAAATGGTTTGATACAGTAATGTTTTACTATGTTATTTTAGTGTATTTTGTGAATGTCAGTTTTTAAAATTTTCAAATTTCCCGCTGGTTTCGGCCCCCCGTACGTCACGACGCTCGCAGGGATCGGAACTCAGAAGACTGATGCCGGCATCGGCCGGAGGACATGGCCAGGGACACTGCAGGGGACACATCATGGGGAGCGCAGGACAAGGTAAGTGAAACAGGGAATCCCGGAGCAATGCTATAGGGTAATCCCAAGTGTAGCTCAGGGTTACCGCTTTTGGTACTGAAACTTTATCCCGAGCTACACTCGGGAATACCGCCAGGGATGTTAATAAGGGACACCCATAGTGTTTGTTTTATAACAAATTAATAATGCAAGCATGGTGCATCACATTACAGATGTTTTATTTGAAAAACATGTTGCTCAGTAAGATACCTGGAACTTTAAGGGGAACCGACAGGTCAATCTGCACCACAGGAATGTGATCAACACCAGGGGAGTCCTGATACAGCTGTAAAAAGGAAGAATGTAAAAAATATTGATGCAATGTTAAATAGATTACAAAGCAAGTTAAAAAAAAAAACTCAAGGAAGATGATGCCAATCATACAGTATACAGGGCAATTTTAACATTTTACACACACGCTTTAAAATCAGCATTTCTTTCTAGCAGATTACTTAGAACCCACCCAACAATATTTATTTCCTGAAAGAAGAGGTCCTAGAAAAAAAATACGCTAAAATAATTTTTAGCTCACACAAACAATACCAATTTTTGAGAAAATATAAAAGATGCTGTTGTGTTGAGTAAATAGATACCAAACATATCAAGATTCAAAACTTTGCATGCCACGGTGGTAAACTATGGTACCTAAAACTTTAGGGTCATCATTGTAGAGCTAGTCCTGAAAGATGGCTCTAGAATAGTTGCCCTCAATCAAACATTTGCAGAGACATCTCGTATATGGATAGTAATCTCTGTTCACATCATGTTTGGGTCGCACACACTTGTTTGTTTTTGTGTGTATGCTCAAGGGGGACAGGGGTGTTTTTAAAACTACTTGCCCTCCTGAGGATTCCCCCTTCCTTACCAGCCCATTTTTTGTGTTATGGCGCTGCGTTACTTTAACGTGTTATGGCGCTGCGTTACGCGGTCATGCAACGATGCACCCAAATTAAATTAATGTCCTTTTTCCCCACGAATTGAGCTTTCTTTGGGGGGTATTTGATTGCCTGCGCGGGCGGTTTTTATTTTTTGCGCTATAAAAAAAAAATAAAAAAAATAAAAAGACCAACAATTTTAAGAAAAAATACAATATTTTTGACTTTTTGCTATTAAACATGTCCAGTAAAAAAATTTTTTAAATCGAATTTCGTTATAAAAATTTAGGCCAAAATGTATTCTGCTACATGTCTTTGCTAGAAAAAAAAAAAAAAATCCCAATACGTGTAAATTGGTGTACATGAAAGTTACAGCGTTTACAAATGGCAGTTTAGATACTGCATTTTTTTTTTTTTACTAGTAATGGCAGCGAACAGTGACTTATAGCGGGACTGCGGCGGCCATTCTGACACTGGGGGGAACTGACTTGGTGTCACTGACATCCCTAGTAACACCAATACAGTGATCACTGCAAAAAAAAAAAAAAAAAAAAAAAAAAAAAAAAAAAAAAAAAAAAAAAAAAAAAAAAAAAAAAAAAAAAATCGCACTAGTAATGGTGCTGTGCAGAAGGGGGTTAACATGAGGGGCGATCAAAGGGTTAACCGTGAGCTGTTTTACTTGTGTCTGCGTGTGTGCTTTACACAGTAATCACACTGCTTTGCATTGCTGTGCTATGCACATCAATCCAAAGCAGTGTGCACGAGCTGACAGGGAGGAGAACTGTATTCTTTACATACAGTTCTGCTTCCCGTCAGAGATGCTCGGCAATCACCAGGCGCTGGTGAGTAATCGCGTGGCCGCATATGGTGGCGCAGGTAAGGCGGTAAATTCACAATCACGTGGATATATAGGATTTTGCGAATCTGTGCCGTTCTGTAGCAGTATATAACGGCAGTCACATGACCCTAAAACACCACCTCGCCTCCCGGCTTCTGAAACCCTTAAAGAGCCGGGAGGGCAGTAAAAAGAAATGTATGGGCGGCTGTAGAACAACCTAGACCACCTTTACTGAGCAACCAATCACCAGCTGTAAAATATGAGCTGGTTATAACCCCCTAGAGCCAGGATGCTTTTTTTCCGTGCAGCAGTCTTCAAGCAGTAAATACCATCTTAGTATTTTATCCTAATCTATTTGGGCCTACACACGTGGAAATTGTTTGGAAACGCCTAGGAACTAAAAAAGGGAACCTGCCAAAACAAACTACCTTTAAATGGAAACTGCCTCTTGACTCCTGTGCCACATGTTGATCTCCAGCACGTTAATGGGTTCAAATCCGGATCTTTTTTTTTTTTGTACCTGTATTTTCCTGCCATAAAAACAGATCCTTTCTTCCCAAAGATACCAGCATAGCATGGAGAGATTGCATTTATTCCAGTGGAGTACAGACTCCTCACTTAGGAGTTAACAGTTAGGAGCATACATACACACAATAAGCAGGGTCCAAAAGTAGAGTTTTAAAAGAGGAAGCTGTGTGACATGTAGCAGTCTTCACATGCATTAACTGAAGATCTGGGACAGTTATGTGTGCAATTTTTCAGGGCAATTTTTCATTTTTCTAAAGTAAGGATATCAAAGCCCATTCAATGTAAATGCTAGAAAGGAGAGTAAGGCCCTGTTCATTACTGGCATTAGAAATAGAAATAGGTGTTTGATGCGCAATTTTAAACACTCCTCAAACATCTACTAAAGTAGTCTGCAATGGATAGGATGAACAGTGGACAAAGCTGTTCATATTTGAAAAACATGTCACATTTGCACCAAATCATGTTGCTGTGTAGCAAAAATGTAGTGTTTACGGTGCGTTTGACAAGTATTAATCAATTATCAGTGAGGTGGAAGGTGGAATATCCATGAGGTGGAAAAAAAATTCCTTGGAGGGCGTCTGAAGTGTGTTTTTTAACTCACCCTAAAACGCATCAAAAACAGGCGTTAATGCTGTATACATTTAATATGCTTTAATATGTAGAAAATTCAAAAAAATCTTCTCCCTGCAAGTTAAGAGCATAATGTGCTAGTATGCATTGCATACTAGCACATTATGAAAGACTTACTTGAAAACGAAGCCCTCCTGAGGAGCGCTGTCACGGCTCCCAAAGGCAAAACCTTTACCCGTTCTTCCATCCTGGTTCACAAGTTGCGGCCCCCGCTGATTGGCTGAGTCACGATGTCATCATTCCCGCGCATGCACGAAGGAGTATCAGGCGTGGTATGGCTCTCTCAATGGACGACACACAGTCCATTGGGAGTGCAGTGCATATGCGTAGTAACGTCACTGGTACTTCTACAGTAAACATCACCTAAACGTATTTCATCCCCCCATATACGTGCGCGTTTAGGAGATATTTACAGTACCTATAGGTTAAGCCTTTAGTAATTAGACAGGTACCTGCTCCCATCACTTCCGCTGCAATCGCCCTAGACAATTGGAAGCAGAAGTTGTCCTTCCCCCTCACTCCCCAGTTGTCTTCTTGGACAGACGAGACAGGTCCTAGAAGACTACGGGGCCCATTCACAAAGTGCAGCACTTCTTGCACATGCGCAGTGGGCACCCGGCTGTGAAGCCGCAAGCTGTCACAGCCGGGTACCCACACTAAAGGTGCCGGCGCCAGGGAGAGAGGATGGCCAGAGAAAACCAGCGGTGGTGAGGACACCGCTGGACTGAGGGACAGGTAAGTGTCTATATTTTAAAACTCAGCAGCTACAGTTTTTGTGGCTGCTGACTTATTTTTTTTTTCTCTGAAACTCCGCTTTAATTCTAGTTTGACAGCCTTTTACCTAAATGTGCCTGGGCAGACAGCAGTGGGGAACTTCCTGTACCATTTCAACCATATTAGGAAAGTGCTATTATGTGCATTTAAAATACAGATTGAAAAAGCTACATACCTTCTGTGGGGAAGGTGAACTTTTAATGTAGAAAGGGTTGTTTGCTTGTTCCTCTTTCCGTGCAGCACGCCTCTGAAAATTAAAACCCCATATGGGAAAAAAGTTATCTTCAGCTTATAAAATTTTTCTGAGAAAATTAGCTACAAAAAAAAAACAAAAAAAAAAAAAAAAAACAACTTTCTGGAGGCCTAGGAAATGGGCAGTAGTCAAAAGAGACAACATAATGAGTTATTTTGCTTTTGTCAAAGTGGTGCTGTTTTTTTCCCCCAAACAACATGGCTGTGCTTGGCAGCCATTAGTATTATAACCACAAGAGCTCTGTGATCAGATACCAAGCTCTTCACTGGAACCTAGAGGCTAGCCATACATTGGAAAACCTTTTGAGATCAATCAAGAAATATTCTCAAACAAAATTCTCTGGATTAACAAAAGGATACATATTATGCATTTGTTTCATGCAATTACAATTTGAGAATACTTGGTGGTTGGTCTCTGATCAATTTTTAAAACCTACTATTCATATACAGTTGCAAGAAAAAGTATGTGAACCCCTTGGGATTACGTGGAGTTTTGCATGAATTGGGCATAAAATGTGCTCTGAACGTCATCGAAGTCACAACAATAGAAGAACACAGTCTGCTGAACATAATACTACACAAACATTAGATGTTGCCATGGTTTAATTGCACATAACATGTAAACATTCACAGTGCAGGGAGGAAAAAGTATGTGAACCTTTGGACTTAATAACTGGTTGACCCTCCTTTGGCAGCAATAACCTCAACCAAACATTTCCTGTAGTTGCAGATCAGACCTGCACAACGATCTGGAGTAAGTTTGGACCACTCCTCTTCACAAAACTGTTTCAGTGTAGCAATATTCTTGGGATGTCTGGTGTGAATCGCTCTCTTAAGGTCATGCCACAGCATTTCAATCGGGTTGAGGTCAGGACTCTGACTGGGCTACTCCAGAAGGCGTATTCTGTGCTGTTGCAGCCATTGTTTTGTTGAATTACTTGTATGCTTTGGGTCATTGTCCTGTTGCATCACCCATCCTCTGCGGAGCTTCAGTCGGTGGACAGATGGTCGTACGTTTTCCTGCAAAATGTCTTGATAAACTCTGGAATTCATTTTCCCATCAATGACAATAATCCGTCCAGACCCTGAGGCAGCAAAGCAGCCCCAAAACATGATGCTCCCTCCGCCATGTTTTACAGTGGGGATGAGGTTTTGATGTTGGTGTGCTGTGCCTTTTTTTCTCCACACATAGTGTTGTGTGTTCTTCCCAAACAACTCAATCTTGGTTTCATCTGTCCACAGTATATTTTGCCAGTAGTGCTGTGGAACATCCAGGTGCTCTTTTGCAAACTTCAAACGTGTTGCAATATTCTTTTTGGACAGCAATGGCTTCCTCCGTGGTGTCCTCCCATGTACTCCATTCTTGTTTAATGTTTTTCCTTATTGTAGATGTGTCAACAAAAATGTTAGCATGTGCCAGAGATTTCTGTAGGTCTTTAGCTGACACTCTGGGACTCTTCTTTACCTCATGCAGCATTCTGCGCTGTGCTCTTGCAGTCATTTTTACAGGACGACCACACCTAGGGAAAGTAGCAACAATGCTAAACTTTCTCCATTTGTAGACAGTCTGTCTTACCGTGGACACATGAACATCAAGGCTTTTGGAGATACTTTTGTAACCCTTTCCAGCTTCATGCAAGTCAACAATTCTTCATCGTAGGTCTTCTGAGAGCTCTTTTCTGCGAGGCATGGTTCATATCAGACAGTGCTTCTTGAAACCAGTAAACCCAAAACAGGTGTGTGTTTTTTAAAGGGCAGGACAGCTGTTAGCAACACATCCAATATCATCACACTGATTGGAGTCAAGGTTGGCTCACTCCTGGCTCCAATTAGCTCTGGGAGAAGTCATTAAGCTACGGCCTCACATACTTTTTCCTCCCTGCACTGTGAATGTTTACATGTTATGTGCAATTAAACCATGGCAACATCTAATGTTTGTGTAGTATTCTGTTCAGCAGACTGTGTTCTTCTACTGTTGTGACTTAGATAACGTTCAGAGCATATTTTATGCCCAATTCATGCAAAACTCCACGTAATCCCAAGGGGTTCACATACTTTTTCTTGCAACTGTATGTTAAATATAAAAAAACTCTGACAAATTATTGTAACATCTCACATTTCACTGGATACTAAAGACTTGTTGGTTTGTACACAGAATACAGTAATGCATTTAATGTATATTAAAGTATCTGTGAGTAATTTTAAAAATGATATACAGTGGGGCAAAAAAGTATTTAGTCAGCCACCAATTGTGCAAGTTCTCCCACTTAAAAAGATGATAGAGGCCTGTAATTGGCATCATAGTAGTCCTCAACTGAGAGAGAAAATGAGAAAAAAAAATCCAGACAATCACATTGGCTGATTTGGAAAGAATGTATTTGCAAATTATGGTGGAAAATAAGTATTTGGTCACCTACAAACAAGCAAGATTTCTGGCTCTCACAGACCTGTACCTTCTTCTTTAAGAGGCTCCTCTGTCCTGCGCTCATTACCTGTATCAATGGTACCTGTTTGAACTTGTTATCAGTATAAAAGACACCTGTCCACAACCTCAAACAGTCACACTCCAAACTCCACTATGGTGAAGACCAAAGAGCTGTCGAAGGACACCAGAAACAAAATTGTAGACCTGCACCAGGCTGGGAAGACTGAATCTGCAATAGGCAAGCAGCTTGGTGTTAACAAATCAACTGTGGGAGCAATAATTAGAAAATGGAAGACATACAAGATCACGGATAATCTCTGGGGCTCCACGCAAGATCTCACCCCGTGTGTCAAAATGATCACAAGAACGGTGAGCAAAAATCCCAGGACCACACGGGGGGACCTAGTGAATGACCTGCAGAGAGCTGGGACCAACGTAACAAAGGCTACCATCAGTAAAACACTACGCCGCCTGGGACTCAGATCCTGCAGTGCCAGTGGTGACCCCCTGCTTAAGCCAGTACATGTCCGGGCCCGTCTGAAGTTTGCTAGAGAGCATTTGGATGATCCAGAAGAGGATTGGGAGAATGTCATATGGTCAGATGAAACTAAAATAGAACAGTTTGGTAGAAACACAACTCGTCGTGTTTGGAGGAGAGAGAAATGCCGATTTGCATCCAAAGAACACCATACCTACTGTGAAGCATGGGGGTGGCAACATCATGCTTTGGGGCTGTTTCTCCGCAAAGGGACCAGGACGACTGATCCATGTACAGGACAGAATGAATGGGGCCATATATCGTGAGATTTTGAGTGCAAACCTCTTTCCATCAGCAAGAGCATTGATGATGAAATGTGGCTGGGTCTTCCAACATGACAATGATCCCAAACATACCCCCGGCAACAAAGGAGTGGCTTCGTAAGAAGCATTTCAAGGTCCTGGAGTGGCCTAGCCAGTCTCCAGATCTCAACCCCATAGAAAACCTTTGGAGGGAGTTGAAAGTCCGTGTTGCCCAGTGACAGCCCCAAAACATCACTGCTCTAGAGATTATCTGCATGGAGGAATGGGCCGACATACCAGCAACAGTATGTGCCAACATTGTGAAGACTTACAGGAAACGTTTGACCTCTGTCATTGCCAACAAAGGATATATAACAAAGTATTGAGATGAACTTTTGATATTGACCAAATACTTATTTTCCACCATAATTTGCAAATACATGCTTTCCAAATCAGCCAATGTGATTGTCTGGATTTTTTTCTCTCATTTTGTCTCTCATAGTTGAGGTCTACCTATGATGCCAATTACAGGCCTCTCTCATCTTTTTAAGTGGGAGAACTTGCACAATTGGTGGCTGACTAAATACTTTTCTGCCCCACTGTACATGATTCATTCTGTCACTAGCATTAACAGGTTTTTTTGTTTTTCTGAATCACCTTGTAACATTTTATTACCTGTGAGTAGATCAGTGTTTCCTTTAACAGATGAAGTTGTTCTGTAAAAAGGGCAGTTGCAGTAGGGACAAACCATATTGCAAAAGCAGGGGCACTTACAAAAGTCAATTTATTGATATGTTTTATTTCTCTATTTTGTTCCCAAGGTGAGGTACGGAAAAGAATGTAGCTGATGAGCCACTTTGTAAAGGGTTTCATTTAACCTCTTCCCATATATACACGGCCTCTCGGCGGATGAGCTTTAACGCTGTGATTCCACATATATGCATCCCAAATGTAAATGTTTCTGTGCTGGGAGCGCGCATGCACCAGAGGGTACTGGAAAGCACCCAATGCATACTTGTGATCAGGAGCTTTCCAATCATGTGACCGCTGTGACTGCCAATCACAGCGGTCACATGATCAGAATGTCCCCCTCCGACTCCCGATATTTAGAATCTCTTAAAGGGCTGGAAGGCGGCAGTGGAAAGGAGTTACTACTGTTTTTATGTAGTTTTAAGTAGCCACTAGGGGGATCCCTACTCTTAATTGTAATTCAAGGGCTGTACTTCTTTTGCTCCAATGGCTGGATACAGTTTATGCCCAAACTGCCATTTTAAATTTCCTGCTTCCTCCATCCTATTTTAACTTTCTCCCGCACAGTCTATAGTCAAATGATGGCCAAGCAGGAACTTTCTAATCCTGGATGGATGTCACACGATGTCCTTCAGGTGCATGCCTCCTGTGCACTCTAGAGGCTGAGCTGCAGCTCGATATGTCACCCAGATGACAGCTTGAAGTATCGAGCCAGCTCTGGTACCAGGTAATCACTGTGACCAATTACAGCAATCACATGTCAAATGTACACAATTTTTGGCATTCATTCATAGCCATTCATTGTGTACTATTTTGATCTCAGTGATCACATGGTACAGACAGGGCCAATCACAGCTCACCTGTACCCTGTGATAGCTGTACCCGTTCACGGCTTTCACAACTGTACATAATGGCACACGAATAGATGCCATTCATAAAAAGGATTGTTTATAACTGATTATCACTGTTATAAGAAATCATAGTGCAAAAAAATTCTAATCACCTCTCCAGAGTAGTACAATGTCACTATGGCAACGCTG